GCAGTGAGCCAAGATTGGGCCACTGCACTCCGGCCTGGGCAACAGAGTGAGACTCCATCTCAAAAAGAGAGAGAGATGAGGGTCTTGCTATATTGCCCAGGCTGGAGTGCAGTGGCTATTCACAGGCACGCGTATTGCACACTGCAGCATTGAAGTCCTGGGCTCAAGCCATCCTACCACCTCAACTTCTCAAGTAGCTAGAACTACAGTGGCTGCCACCACACCCATAAGCTTTTTTTCAATAAATTTACATATCAGCTGAGTCACATTCCAATGGCCATGGGGGTGGCAGCCTCTTTCTGTGGGTACTAGAGTGAATCAGTCTAACAAAGGAGTGTAAGAACCCTGGTGGGTTGCTCTGTAAAGTCATCACGAAGTGAATTGGGGGGAATGGTGGGCCTGCCCCAACAAGGCTGTTATCAAATTCATGGCAGAGAGAGACTGCTGGGACAATTGGTGCACACCACCACACCCAGTTCATTTTATTTTTAGTAGAGATGGTGTCTCACCATGTTGCCAAGGCTGGTCTCAAACACCTGGACTCAAGTGATCCACTTGGGCCCACTTTGGCCTCCAAAAGTTCTGGGATTACAGGCCTGAGCCACCATGCCTTGCCAATAGCTGTGATTCTTAATTGCATCAGGCCCTGGATACAGCGCTTTCATTCAGTTTAGTCAAGTATCTGTTGAGCACCTACTAAGCACCAGGCCAGGCTGTAGGTGCTGGTGATAGGATACACAAAATCCCTACTCATGCAGGTCATTGCGATGAGCTGGTGCCATCCAACTGGCACAGAAACTGCAGACCAAACTGGAGAACACCCAGGAACCACCCATCCTGCCCCTGCATCAGATCTCTTTTCAGGGCCCTGCCTGGCTGTCCCCAGAATGTACCCACCCCATTCATTTCTCTTTTAGAAGAGGCAGGCGGAGCTTCCCCGGGATGATTCTGTTTATTCAACAAATATATATGTGTTTAAGTTTCTTCAGATGGCAATCTATTTATGAAACCAATTGAGGACATTAGGATTGGATATGTTTCCAGTTCCACATATGAGTTGAGATGGTGTGGTGCATTGGCTAACCACCAGGGCTCCTGGTCAGAGAGTTCCATCTTCCCCTTATAGCTGCACCTTGGGCATGCTGCTTGTTTCTCTCTGTGCTTCAGTTACTTCATCTAAAAAGTGAGATATCAGCTGGGCGTGGTGGCTCACACCTGTAATCCCAGCATTTTGGGAAGCTGAGGAGGGTGGATCACTTGAGGCCAGGAGTTCCAGACCAGCCTGGCCAACATGGTGAAATCCTGTCTCTGCTGAAAATGCAAGAATTAGCCAGGTGTGGTGGTAGGTTCCTGTAATCCCAGCTGCTTGGGAGGCTGAGGCAGGAGAATCGCTTAAACCCAGGAGGCAGAGGGTGCAGTGAACCGAGATGGTGCCACTGCACTCCAGCCTGGGCAACAGAGCAAGATTCCGTCTCAAAAATAAATAAATAAAAATTTTAAAAATAAAAATAAAAAGTGAGATATTGTTCATACCTTATAGAGCTATTAAGAAGCTTATGTGAGTTAATATATATAAAGCACTTAGAATATTGCCTAGCACCTAGTAGGTGCCAAACAAATGTTTGTGATTATTATTTTCACTTTAACAATATAACTTAAGACATATTATGAAAACAACACATTTATCTTATAGAATAGGCTTTTGTAATCTACATATATTTAAATAAAACAATAATTGTTTTGCTCTAACAGGACTCAGATTATTTTAGCTATTTTAGTTATATATTTCTTTTTATTTATTTATTTTTTTATTTTATTTTATTTTTTTTTGAGATGGAGTCTCACTCTGTCACCCAGGCTGGAGTGCAGTGGCGTGATCTCGGCTCACTGCAACCTCTGCCTGCTGGGTTCAAGCAATTCTCCTGCCTCAGCCTCCCAAGTAGCTGGGATTGCAGGTGCCAGCCACAACACCCAGCTAATTTTTTGTGTTTTTAGTAGAGATGTGGTTTCACCATGTTGGCTAGGCTGGTCTCAAACTCCTGACCTCAAGTGATCCACCCGCCTCAGCCTCCCAAAGTGCTGGGATTACGGGCGTGAGCCACCACGCCTGATCATAAATTGATTTATTTCTTAAATGAGCCGTTTTAAAAAAATAAACATGATAAAAATTCTAGCAATGCAGAAGAGTAGAGCAAGTTTTCCTGAAACCCCAGACCTCAGTTTTCTTAACTATCCCAGAAGGACCCCTTTATCATCTTTGTCAAGCAAATATTTATTGAGCATCATCTGTATCAGGCATTGTGCTGGCCTCCAGGATATAAAAATGAATGCACCCTGATCTCTGCCCGCTTCATACACCCTGAGTCTGAGTCTGGGGGAAGGCCCTGGGATCTCCGTATTTGAAAGGCACTGCATGATGAACCTGCCTCTTGCCTCAGCCAAGAATGAGAATCTCCAGTCTGATGGTTTTTATATAAATCATTAGATATTTGAGGAACATAAAATGTTTAAGTCAGTTGAAGTTACCAAGATAACATTTTTCTTTCTAAATTGGAAGGTGGTCTTGGAGAGGTTGCCATTATTTTAGACTCTTTGAGGTCAGTTTTTGAAGAATTGCTTGTTAGAAGGCAGTCACATTTTCTCCTCATCATGTTGTTCTTAGGTGGGCTGGAGAGTTTTGAATCACATTTTTTGAAAGCAGAGGTGAATGTGTGTAAACTCAGAAATCCTATTGCATGCTTGCCCAGGTGTCTGCGAATGTTCTCAGCAAGTCAGGAGTCCAAATGAAAGATTTGTAAATAGCTTAATTACTTGCTACTGTGAATAAGATAATGATCTCTTCGTAGAAGTCAAAAGACAAACAGCAGCATTTGTGCAGTTGGAACTGAAGTGCTGCAGCCTCTTCTCTTTCCACAAGGAGAGTTTCAAGTTTGTAACCAGAAAGAGGTTTATATTCAGGACAGGGAAAAGCAAACTCAAGGCTGACAGATTGCTCTGGTTATTTTATTAACTCTTTGGTTTTGTTCTAACGAAGATTTAGGTTTTGTTCTTGTTTTTTTTGAGACAGTCTCGCTCTGTTGCCCAGGCTGGAGTGCAGCGATCTCGGCTCACTGCAACCTCCACTTCCCAGCTCAACCTCCCAAGAAGCTCCCAATTGCAAGCATGCACCACCACGCCCAACTAATTTTGTATTTTTAGTAGAGACAGGATTTCATCATGTTGGCCAGGCTGGTCTTGAACTCCTGACCTCAAGTGATCCTCCCACCTCGGCCTCCCAAAGTGCTGGGATTATAGGCATGAGCCACCATGCCCACTCAGATTTTGTTGTTTCTAAATGTAGCAACTGTAGAAAATCTGGAAAAATGGGAAAAGTACAGAGAGGAGAAAAATGACCTAGAATTGGACAACCACAGAGACAAACTCAGAACTCAGTGAGCATTCTGTGAGTCCCTCTCTGAGTAAGGTGCAGAGGGGGAACAGGAGAGAAAGGGACGTGGTTCTGTCCCTAAGAAGCTGGAATCTGTTGTGTTTTTTGTTTTGTTTTGTTTTGTTTTCGTAGAGATGAGACCTTGCTCTGTTGCCCAGGCTGGTCTCAAACTCCTGGCCGCAAGCAATTCTCCTGCCCCAGCCTTAGAGTGCTTAGGATTAGAGGGAGGAGCTGCTGCGCCCAAGTAGCTGGAATCTACTGCTTAGTGCCCATGAGTCTACAGGTGTAGCACTGTTCTCCAAACCAGGACACAGTCTCCTAAGCACCTAATATTCAGGCCATTTTCTTTTTTTAAAGTCCTATTATGTGGACAGAGGGCTTAAGTCATGGAATGATCCATTCACGAGTGCCTGTAAATTCTTGGAAAGCTCTGAAAATTGGGCCAGATGTGGTGGCTCCTGCCTGTAATGGCAG